ATATCCAATTCCTCTTTCCATTCAAGTTTCAAGCAAAAATATTGATCATTAACATTTCCAAAGATTGAGGTGTTAAAAATATTTGTTTAAGGTAAGTCACTCGTCAGCTTTTTAGAAAAGTCACGCAGAAGCTTTTACTTCATAACTACTTATCAAAATTCAATTTTTATAACATATTTAAATTCAACAATGTAAATTTTTTAACATTCAATGAAAAAACTGCTCAAAATTCTACAAAGAAGCAAGATTTATGAGGGACTATTTCTTTTGGTGGAAGGATATTTAGCAGATAATTCTGCAAATCTGCACATTTATAAAATTTAATGTAATGGAAATTTAGAATCACATAATTTTACTCGGAGAATATTTTCCGTTTTGATATTGCTAAGAATATTTGATATAGGTCTTAATTCATATTTTTAGACCAAGTTTTACACCTTCCCTCAACAAACTTTTCCAAGAAATGAAAATATATTAAAGAAGTCAAGATCAAATTTACACCATTTTTTGCCTGAAAATCACATATTTTGACAAATATTTCAAAATTAACATCACTGACCCCACCTTTTTCTTTCATTATTTTAAACTACTCGATACTTGTGACTGATCAGCACTTAAGTCGTAAAAAGTTTGATATAAGAAATTTTTTTATTGCCTATTAAGTTTTTTAATACCCCAAATATGCTATTTTTTAGTGCAAAAAGGTCACACAATAATTTACGCGCAATAATTTGCAAGATTTGTTTAATGATAAATGTTATTCAAACTATCTTACGTAAAATAAGATTATATTTATTGCCATGCTTACATCTGATCAAATATAATAAGGTTAAAGTAATTAACCAAAGAGATGAAATTTAAGTGCAAAAAGGTCAACTTAAATGTACCGTAGATCAGTAGGATGCACACTGACCCCCCATTTTCTTTGCGATTTTGAATTACACTTTATGAATACTTATCCAAAATATACTTCTCAAAAAATCCTTGATTTAACAAATTTCAGGAGTGACTTACCTTAAGTATCGCAATGTGACTATTTTGTTTATCGGAAGCGTCTGCTTTCACGCTGTTTGGTTTTTTGTTTACTTTTCTACACTGTGCTATTTATAGTAAGTCAGTCTATCACGATGCCTACAGTCAGGACTTCGCTTTCAGCAAAGCCCGGCTAAAAAGCTGATACTTAAAATGCTCATTACACTTTCGTCCAAATTGAATAAAGGTGTATGATAAAAAATAAATCTATATGGTCCTTGTATATTCATAAAAAATAAATACAGAAAAAATGTACACGTATGATATTATCATCGAGCATGTATTTGATACATGAATAATTGAATATTATCAATATTTTAGATAATATCAACAATATGTAATGCTATAGTTTTATATACAAGAAACACAAAATACATGTACATAATTTGAGGGGATGGATCCGAATCAAATTAGGTTTGATGATGAAAGAAACATTGAAAATATGTTAATAAATTCATCCCAAAATAAGGAAAAATATTTGCAGCATTTTTTTTTTCTTTTTACCTATTCACTCTATTAAGAAAATTAACAATAATCTTGTTATTATTGCAATAGAACATCTGTTGCTTCCAAAAAATAATATATTAGCACGGTTAGATAGTTTTACATACCACCAGATAGGGGCACTTTTGTGATTGAAATTCTAAAGAAAAAAAAATTTCAAATTTTAATGAATATCGCAGGAGAAAATACTGATGGAGGCAAATACATTGTATATCCAAGTATCCCCTGACTGTTAACCCACAGAGTCCTTATGAAAGTTAATATTATAATATCAAAAGCTAAGTTAAAAGTTACACTTAAGAATCGGTGAGTCGAAGGAAACTAAAATTAATCATCTTGGAAATAACAAGAAAAGGAAGCCCCCGTAATCGAAGAATCGGGGATATATAGTTTTTGCCCAGTCCATCTATCTGATTGTCCGCAAAAACATCTGAAATCTTGTCCATAACTTTTGGTGTGAGTGAGGCTATGGCTTTCATATTTCAAAGGCGTATTTCCTATCACAAGACATTTTTTTGGTACCATCAAAGGACTAGATGCGGTTTATTGCATAATTTTGCCCCCCCCCCCCCAAGTCATATTTTGAAAATTTCATGAAATTTTTTTTATATAAAGAACGAGAAATCTAAAATGCTAGTAACCGAAAAATTATAGTTTCAAAGAAGATTTTTGATAATTTTTATTTTTATGATGTCTCAAACTATTTTGGATATTGTATTTTTTTTTTAGAAAGAGGAGAAAAATGGATTAAATTTGCTCAATTTTTACTATAACATTTAATATATACATTTGTGTTATCTCTCCCTTATATAAACATACAGAGAACAAATATCTTCAATTCTGTATGAAGTTTGTCAGAGGTCAGGGGTCAATACGTGACCTAATCACACTGCGCAATAATATGAAATGACTTGCTCTACATACGTATAAAAATGAACAAAGTAAGCAAGTAAAATAATAATAATTCTATTTACAATGTAAACAAGTATTTTATACAGTTTTTGGGTTATCGATTTAACCTGTATACATAGGGAATATAAGGATAAAAACTATAGATCTAGCCTTTATAAGTTTGTTTACAAGTGTAGTAGGAAAGGAGAAATGCACGAAGAAAACATATGGCTGGACCGGGAATCGAACCCGGGACCCCTGTATTACTAGTCAGGTGCTCTAACCACTGAGCTATCCAGGCCGATATCCACGGTCCGTAAAGCCCGAACTTCTACATTCCTCCCTCCTTAAACAGTCTTCGACCTCGAAGACACAAGTTCTAGGGCCCTGCCAGGAATTACTAATTTACACATACACTGTAACCTGAACAAAGCCCCCCACACTGGCCACCAAATGTAGTGGGAAAGGAGAAATGCACGAAGAAAACATATGGCTGGACCGGGAATCGAACCCGGGACCCCTGTATTACTAGTCAGGTGCTCTAACCACTGAGCTATCCAGGCCGATATCCACGGTCCGTAAAGCCCGAACTTCTACACAAGCTTTACGTCACTTTTGTCAGCTGCACAGTATCTAACGTTAATCCTTAATTTTTGGGTAGACCTTAAGTTAAATCGTCATGATGAACTATATTTTTTTCATTAAATTCTACTCACGATAAATGTGTAAGTGACAGTCGTGTTGGAAAATATCAAAACATCACAATCACGAACAGCTGATAAACACCATGAACACCTCGGCGTTGTCGTACTTCAGTGTTTCTCCTTGTTTACATCGTAATTATACATTTAGTTATTGAAATCGTAGATTGAATGTTTTTGATCAAATTTAATGCTTGATTGCAAATTAACTGGCTCGGTCAAGTTTTTCCATCCATCGGATCCATCCCTCACTTTCCAGCGACCGAAATTCCTCCAACTTTTTATCAGCGATCTTCAGACGTGTTTCTTGTGTCTTTTCAGCATTGATTATCAATTTTCACAAATAAAATTATTCCCAGACAACAATCTTTTCACTAGTACTGATCACAAGTAGCCTTTCACAAAGTATTCCCTTCGAAATAGAATCCTTCGCCTGATGAATTCGAAGCGTAACCGCCAATCAAGCCGATTTACACCTTGCGTCATTTTTCAAAATCTACGACGTACGGTTAGTGCAATAATTAATATTCGAAAATATTCAATTGTCTGTCTCAAATGTATATATAAGTAATAAATAACAAATTAATAAACTTCAATGGGAATTGAAGTGGGTCTAGAAATGATCAAATCTTCTGAGAAGGCCTTCGGCCTTCACAGGATTTGATTCACGTGACCGACACACCACTTCAATTCCCATTAAAGTTTATTAACTTGTTATTTATTTCTTAATAGAACGCAGGCCTGCTCTAGAACAACATTTCATTGATATTATCATTCTACGTATTATATCAAATTATAAAGCTGGGGCAGACCTGCGCTCCATGACTTTTACTCAAAATATCGACGTAATATACGCCCTTTTCTGTAGAAATCATGGAAATTTTAAATTAACATTTTCCTGACGTCATTGCAAATATATGACGTCATGGCTTATAAAAATATTCAGTGCTTTGAAGTTTGCAGATATCTTCCTGTTTAAGAACATTACTTATAAATATCTCCGTTAAACTTTGACTTTTGGGGCAAATATTGGTCAATACCGCGTACTAGTATAGTCCTTTGACCTCGTGACCTTGAAGTTTGACTAATTTTACCAAAAAATTCCGAAATTTAACCATAGCCATAACCTTTCAATAGTTGGTGCTAGGGCTCTCATACTTCACTGTATTCACTGTGACAAGAACTTTTATTGGGTAAAAATGTTTTACCTTCTTAAGTTGACCTCAGAATTTAGCCCACTTTGAAAAATAACTTTGACCTTGACTATGACTTTTGAATCGCTATTGTTAGCGCTTTCATATTTCACAGGTGTATTCCTTGTGACGAGTCCTTCCTTTGAATACCAACATTTTTTACCTTGGAGTTTGACCCACTTAAAACATTTACATTGACATATCTTTTGAACCGTTCGTACTAGGGCTTTTATATTTCCTATGTGTATTTTTTGTGAGATTACCTTCCATTGAGTACCAATAAATTTGACCATTTGACGTTATCCTTGTATTTGAGAAATTTCTACCCTCACCATAAGCTGCCATACAGGGCATTAGATGTTTCAAAAACATAGCTTGTTCATTCAAACTTGGTTGATTTATCTACATTTTCTTTTCAGTTTTATCGCGATGATGGCGATTCGGCTGATCATAACTCTCCTTTCTTTGATTGATGGTGCACTCAGCAACGAACTCAAAGCACCAGCAGCGAACTTCTTGTCATACTATGATGGCAGATTTCCTCAGCAGTCAAACCCAAAAATTGGTTATGGTCCAGACTTTTTTGCACCAGGTGTAAATATAGTATATCCAAAAGACTTTGTAGTAAGACAGCCATATATGGAGTCCAGATTGAATTTGGATTTAAGACCTATCGAACATGGCATTAATTGGGGACCAGCGCTTAAAAGAGGAGGATTTGCATTCGTCGGAGCAGGCAGCGGTGGTGGAGGAGGATTTGGGGGATTCGGTGGTGGAGGATTCGGAGATGGTGGTGAAGGATTTGGTGGAGGAGGAGGAGGCGATGGAGCAGGCGGGGGATTTGGATTTGGAGGAGGAGCTGGGCTTGGTGGTGGATTTGGAGCAGGTGGTGGTGGAGGAGGAGGCGGTGGTGGAGGAGGTGGATTTGGAGCAGGTGGTGGTGGAGGAGGAGGCGGTGGAGGAGGAGGTGGATTTGGAGGCGGAGGATTTGGAGCTGGAGGAGGCGGGGGTGGCGGAGGAGGTGGTGGAGGGGGAGGAGGAGGCGGCGGTGGGGGAGGATTTGGAGCCGGAGGAGGATTTGGGGCTGGTGGCGGTGGCGGGGGTGGCGGAGGAGGAGGCGGCGGTGGCGGAGGAGGCGGTGGAGGAGGAGGAGGAGGTGGTGGTGGAGGAGGCGGTGGAGGAGGAGGAGGCGGTGGCGGAGGAGGAGGCGGCGGCGGTGGAGGAGGCGGCGGCGGCGGAGGTGCTGGTGGTGGTGGTGGTGGAGGAGGAGGCGGCGGCGGAGGTGGTGGTGGAGGAGGAGGCGGGGATGGCGGAGGTGGAGGATTTGGAGGAGGTGGAGGAGCAGGATTTGGAGGTGGTGGTGGAGGGTTTCTCTCTCCATTTTTGGCTAAATATGCAAAAGTTTTCACACCATTTGCTGAACGTGAGACACGATATGAATCGGCCATCAAAGGATTTCCCGACTTTTTTCTACCAGGTGATGAAACTGATTCGTGTTTTGCTAATTACAGAGCAGTATTCAACAGAGCATTACCAAATCTTCCTCCGTTAGTGCGATCAATTGAATATGCTCTTTCTATACCAATTCAAGTAACTCCCTTCAAACTACCTAAATCAGCACAACAGGCTTATGTTCTGGAAGATGGCTCTGGACCACTTTATATTCCATACAAAATTGCTACTTCAAGCTTCAACATTTATCTTCCCTTGAACCGTAAAACAAAAAGACTAGAATACCCTATATATCCTATTCTTACTCCATACCCAGAACTTTCCTTCAATACTAAATACAGACAATGGGTTCCTTACATACCATTCGCCCCTGACAAATACAGAGGGCCACACCAACCGTGTTATCCAATAACTCTACCTATAGATAAATATGGAACTTACGCTAGCTTCAGGTTAGCTGGTGGTGGAGGCGGAGGAGGAGGAGGCGGTGGTGGAGGAGGAGGATTTGGGGCTGGAGGAGGTGGTGGAGGAGGAGGTGGTGGAGGCGGAGGAGGTGGTGGCGGTGGAGGAGGAGGTGGCGGTGGATTTGGAGCTGGTGGAGGCGGAGGAGGTGGTGGTGGTGGAGGAGGAGGTGGCGGAGGAGGAGGTGGTGGCGGAGGAGGAGGAGGTGGCGGTGGATTTGGAGCTGGTGGAGGCGGAGGAGGTGGTGGTGGTGGAGGAGGTGGCGGAGGAGGAGGTGGTGGCGGAGGAGGAGGAGGTGGAGGTGGATTTGGAGCTGGTGGGGGCGGAGGAGGTGGTGGAGGAGGCGGAGGATTTGGAGCAGGTGGCGGAGGAGGTGGTGGTGCAGGATTTGGAGCAGGCGGAGGAGGTGGTGGAGGTTTTGGTGGAGGAGGATTCGGCAGTGCAGGAGCCGGTGGTGGTGGTTTTGGAGGAGGTGGTGCAGGATTTGGAGGAGGTGGTGGAGACGGGTTTGGTGGTTTTGGATTTGGAGGTGGATTTGGAAACATTGGTTTTGGATTTGGTGGAAAAGGTATTTCGTTTTATTATATTTTTCATTTTATGTGATATCGAATCGTATTCAAATTTTGTACTCATTCTATAATTCCAATTTTTTTTCTTTTTAGGTCCAAAAAAATATGCTTTGACGTACTGAATATCTTGATAGTAAAAAAGAAAAGGGTGAAGATTGATTGATATTTGCCAAGCTCAGAATCTTCGACTGAAAGGAGATAGTGCCCGTACATTCACTTATCTAAACTGAATTTTCACACCGCAAAAATGTGCCACCCGGGGTCTTCATTTGATGCTGGGACATGTCCCTTAGTTTTCTCCTCAGAATTGATGATTTTTAAAACTCCCTTGTGACTAGTTACAAGGGTCGTTAGTTTGATATTGTGGTTAGTTTGATATTGTGGTTTCCATGTCATCTCTGCCGCAACTCTGGAGATAGGCGACACGCATCTTGATGAATCTGTTGAACATTTATTGAAATGACTCGAGCAAATAACTGCAATCTTATCCTACCTTTAATTATATAGACCAGATTATTTAAATCACTCGTATTTTCTTCATCCAATTAGAAAAACGACGTGTCTACATATGTTTATAATTGTTTCAATATTGTGAACAGTGTTTTTTTTTTTTCAAAATATTCATCTAGTGTCCATGTAGTTTAGATAGAGTATTTAGTGTAAGGAAATTACATTTTAATAGGAAACGTACCGTATTTTGAAACACGACGATTTGTCAGAATACATGTATCACGTTTAATCATCATAGAGTACATATGTACATATACTATGTTATTTTTAAATTATAAATCATTTATATACACAAACATAAAATATGGATTTTATGTATTTTTTCCGGTCATTTTTACCGTCCTGACAAATTTTTAAACACGAAAAAGGATTGAATTTAAGCGAGCTTTAGAAGCTTTGTAAGAATATATGATACATTATATGGTAAAAAAAACAGTGTATTTGGAAGCTAAACCATATAAACTTAAATATTTTACCTGTTATTTTATTACTAGGATGTGATTTATACATTTATGTTATTTTGAAGAAATAAAAAAAATCTAAAACTTCTGTATTCTGTGTTTTCGCCAATAATTTGGTTTACCGTGTTTTAAGATGGGGGTGTGTGTAATTCATACCCCCCCAAAAAAAAACAAACAAACAAACAAACAAAAAAACATAGATATCATGCAGCTCACCTAACAATTAGCAAAAAGTTTACCAAAAAAAAAATGTAGGACAAATATTTTCAAAATCGTATTGTTACAACACATTCAAATTGTGTTCCCTTTTAAAAGTTCTGAAAAAAATCTCTGGAAAGCCTATATTATTAATTATTAATAAACGAATGAATAAATACAAAAAAAATTCATTGCAGATGGGGACAATTTGCCTAGATTGAAAAAACTTTGAAATATTCAATATTACTGCACCTTTATTTGCTTGTATTTTATTTAAATGTTGCCGACAACACCACTAACAACGTGTTTAAAATTAGTTACATACATCACATCGGCTGGATAAAAAATTATGCACCACTTTTCTGTTTGGAAAGTATATTTAAAAGAAAAGGGATTCAATAATACCTATTTTAACAGATAGTGCAAGTGAGGTAAATATCTGGGTTTTAAATCATGAAGGAAAAGACAGGAGTAATGCAAAAAATAGAAAAAGAAAACCATGCCACTCTTGACCGTTTGAAGAAAAAAAATTATGATGAAATAATTTTGAAATGTCATTTTTTTTATTTGCAAGTGATTTTCAAATAATTTCATTATCATATTTCGTATATTGCATTAAAAAAAAACATAACAAAATGTAGGGATGGATTTTTTTAATGAAATATTCTTGCAATTTTGTATCGTATATATGACGTGATATACTTCGCTGTGGGGGGAATGAGAATATATATACACATTTTTAGGTATTTATAATAAACCATATGCATGGTTGGAACATAAAGTTGTGACAATTCAATAATTATCGCTATTTTCGTCAGATAGTGAGTGATCATATACGTTTTCTCTCAAAATTGGAATTTACAAGACGTATGTGTTGAGAGCTGCTTTTAGGAGCAAAACTTATAGATGTTGTCAAAAATCTTAATATCGGAGAAAATAGTTAGCAGTTTGGAACAATTGGTGTTTGTTTCAGATATGCAGAAATGTCAGCCCCGGTCATTAAATTTATGTCCATGGCGGGAAAACTGTCATTCGACCCCTCACAACGTGTACGGCTAAAGTATCGCTGTACATAAATCTTAGCGGTCTTTGCGCTAAAGGTCACATTGTAACCCCGACTTTTTACTGGTGACACCACTGTAGGGACATCGTAAGTATATTCCTCTTTTATAGGTTTTTGGTTTTATTTATGCATCTCTAAGGAAAACAAAATTTTCTTGTATGTTTTCCCAGAAAGTTCTTCCTCATCAGGAATTCTCTTGCTTTGTAGCGTTCGGGAGTGAGAGAAATGGATGCAATAAAGACTTTATTTATCTGCCTCTCGTGCGTGGCTTTTGTCCTTTCACAACAGAAACTGGATGATCTGAATCAAGAATTTGGAGATTTTACTAGTCGTTTTGTCGGCTCGGATCTACCAGTTGCAGGGATAGGAGCTCAGCCTGTAGGAGTGTCACCGGATGGAAATTTCTTCGCGCCAGGTGTACGAGTTGCGAATTTACGTGCACCTCTTCCCGACCCCGTGCCGTTATTTCAGCCAAATTTCGGACCAGTTGGAAATGCACATGAAAGTCCACTTTTCCCGTTTGACAGTACTGGCGGCCCATTAATTAACGATGGTGTACCATTACCCTTTGGGGGAGACTTACCGTTTATACCGGATGAAACCCCCCAAAATGTTGGACCATTTCCTTCACCTCCGAGAGGCGATATTAAACGCGAACTGTTCGTTAAAGAAGAAATTGGTCGTCCTGAATTCCTTCCCGTAGGACATCATGGACCTGTTGAGCCAATTACTTCTGTTAGGGATGTAGCCGAACGATTCCGTTCGTCCTCAGTGGTAAAGTTAGTATCCGAGTCAGGTGGATCTGTTAGGGATGTAGCCGAACGATTCCGCGCTTCCCCAGTGGTACAGTTAGTATCTGAGATAGGTGGATCTGTTAGGAATGCAGCCGAACGATTCCGCTCTTCCCCATTGGTACAGTTAGTATCTCCTGGGTCTGGTGGATCTGGAAGGAGTGGATCCGAAGCACTGAAAAACATTGCCCCGTTCATAAAACCATTCACTGAAAATATTGGCAAGCGTTATGAGCCAGTGTTTAAGGAATTCCCTGAAATATTTCTGAGCGACGAAGGCAAAGATAGTTGTTTTCCCAAAATCAAAAAAATATTTGACAAAGCATACCCAAAACTTCCTAAATTGGAAAGGGCTAACCAGCCCATAAACTTGCCTATCCCCCGATATGCTAAGGAACTACCCCCAGATGTGTCGCCCACTTATGTGTCAATAGTTAACAATGGTATTGTGTATGCTCCTTACAAAATTTCCACAACACAGAATGTCATTTTCGTTCCTTTTGAAAGAAAAACAAAGAAACTGCAATATCCAGCCTTACCTATCTACATTCCCTACGTGAAGCTATCCCTAAATGTCCCCGAACAGAAGAGACAGTATTTTATATATCTTCCGTTTCAACCCGATAAGAATCGAGCTCCATCCCTAAAATGCGATCAGTCAAGTGTATTACTGCCAATCTATGGAAATCTCAAAGAATTCTTCAAAGTTGCAGCGTACAATGTGATTGGATTACAAGAGAGTCAAGGTGAGACAAAAGAACCAACTCGGGTGGACCGAGGATTTCTGTTTTATACTCAGATTGAAAGTTCTGTAAAATTCGTTGGCAAAGCATGTTTGCCGAACATTGGTTATATAAGGCCATTGTGTTTCTAACTTTAATGAGTGTTACTCATTGGCAGTCAATATGGGATATTAATTGTTTCTTTAAATAACTTGTTATTTTATATTTTCAGTAGAGAATTTATAATATTAATAAGAACCATGCATGACCCTATTTAAATGAAACATAAATCATAATAATTTTGTTCATCTTGCAATATTTATAATCATTATCTTTACCGTTATTCCTATTTATATCCTACGTTCTTTATGCCAAATTTTGCCCGTAAACATAATCGATCAAATACGTAAATAGTTTATGAGGAAAACACATTTTTATTCGGTTCTTTCCAAGGCACATAATGTAATCAGCAAGTATTATAATTTTTTATGTTCTACGTAATTGAAAAGTACTCTTCAGTAATAGAGACGGATAAAAACGGGCAGACCAAAAACAAAAAAAATTGAAATACATGATTAAATAGTTCTGTATTTTCACATTACAATATTAGGGTCAAGAAAATAACCCCCGATACTACTAGCATATACCTACAAAAAAAATGTTAAATGAAATCATACAATCCCTAGGATTACTTGTGTACAATGTATTCAATCTCCAGAAATACTTGAATGCAATTCTGCAATCAATACCTAAAAATAAGTGTACAGGTAACATGTAATACTTGTATGCAATTGTTTTTTTTAACTATTTGTTGTCTTTGGCAGAAGGTCCTAGCGCTGTGGCGGCCCCTTCGTCATTCATAATGCCCTCTGTTGGATTTAAGGGACCAACCGTGGTTCAGACAGGCCCAGTAATTGCATCAATTATTGCTGCAGGACCACCAGTTCATGCGACAGGACCACAAGTCATTGCGGCAGTGCCACCAGTTATCAAAGCGGGACCACCACTCATCGCTGCAGGTCCAAAAATCATGTCAGCCGGTCCATCACTTATTGCTTCAGGTCCACCAGTTCATGCAGTAAGACCACCAGTCATTGCATCAGGACCACAAATAATGTCAGCAGGTCAAACTATTCTTCCCGCAGGACCTTCAATAAAATCAGCTGCTTCTATAAATTTGGTCGCAAGGCCCATAATTACAGAGTCTAAACCCATCATTGAAGAACCAGTCGTTGTTGAGAAAGGTAAATAAAAAATTATCAGCTTCACAAAATTAAAGAATCTGAACATTTTATCAAAATGATGAAATACATGTACCTGTCAGTGTGCAGTCGTTGATATGAATTTTATTAAGAATAACTTTGAAAAATTAAATAACATGATAAAACATTTGTAAACATTTCATTCTTTTTCTTTGCAGAGTACCGCCCAACCGGACATCTTGCAAAATATTAGGAAGAATGAGATTTCTGACACTATCCCAGATAATCACATTATTACATTGTCGGCGAACTGCGTTTTGTTATTTATTGCTTTATTTATTGTTAAAATATATTTTACAAACACTTTTGTTATAAACATTTTTTCGAGTTTACAAACAAATGAATATAACGACATCCCAAACCACGTGAGTTTATCCCCCGGTTTTATTTCGTTGGGAGGATGATTCAATTGAGCGTGGATAGGCCGTATTGAGGAAAGCAGCTTTCCCGAGACAAACCCCGCATTGCTAGTGGCCATGGGAAAAAGGAGATCGTATTGTGATAATAGGGATTCCTTTTGGAAATTGCTCGGTCGCCATTCAAATGTTTTGTGTAATTATTTTTGCTCATTATTGATTAATCATCATTATTGTAAATTTTATTTATTGAAGGAGGTGTTGATGACAATTCTTTTATGTCTATGCATAGTAAATCTGATGGAGCTATGAAAAGTTTTTAAAAATATTTTTAAAGGCGTTTTATAGATGAATTAATTTGTTTGCAACATAATATTTTACATTGATTAAAAAAAGTTGAATGACTTTCAGTGTTCGCGTGCTTTAAAAATTTAAGATTTGTTATAGCTCAAGCAAACAAACAGACAATATTGAATTATTACCATTTGTTGTTTTGGGTTTTTTTTGCACAAAAGTTGAGATTTGAAACTGGAATGAAAAGTTAAGAAATCAAGAGCTTTGTCATCATATTATATGAAATTATTCTCGCAACAGTTTTTCTAAACGAGGGTTTCATTCGAAAGTGTATCTTCAGGGTCCGTGTTCTAAAATTTCTCATTGGTTCCTTTTTAGCTCAACTGGTCAAAGACCAGAAGAGCTATATAATTCTCTTTAGATTTTTGATTTCGATCCGGCGTCCGTCCGTCTGTCTGTCTGTAAACATTTTTTTTTCAAAATGCTACTCCAAAAACAGTTTTGCTCTTATTGCAATGTAATGTGGCATGCAAGGAGACTACTCTGAGATACATAATTGTCTTGTTTTTTTAAAACTTTTTTTTATTTTGATGATTGGTATTGTCATGGTAACTAAAGCTGAAAATACTGTAAAAATTTATTAAAAGCTACTCCTACAGCTGTAGTCTTATTGCAATATCTTGTCACAAAAAGAGACTCAATCAAGGATCATTATTCTATTTATTGCTGTTGTAAAGTTTCAAGTTCCAACTGCTACTTTTCTCTTCATTTAAAATTGTTGAAAGTTCAAACCAGTAGAGCTTCAGTCTCAACAGAGGCTTTTGGTTTAAATAACATTGATTTGTTTTGCTGTAAACTTGACTGTTTTACTATATTAAAGATTTCTTATTTTTATTAGCCATTCTCCCGGACAAAAATTCGATTGTAGATAATTTATACTATCTGCCCCTGGCAAAAATTCGAATGCAGATAATTCAGATTACACCTTTAATGATGATAAAATAAGATTTTTGTGGCTTCAGAGATGCGAGCGAGTCAAATGTCAAAAATGATTTGTTAAAAGTGACAGAAAGTACTCACAAACAACGGACGGACAGATAAGCAGAAAAAGACAGGGAGCTACAATGCAAAACTTCTCCAGCTTGTTGGTCTGAAAAAAATGGGATGTTAGGGTTTTTTTTCATTTTTTATTTTGTTTGTTTGGGTTTGTTTTTTTGTTTTGTTTTGTTTTTTTGTTTTTTTTTTCAGACCAATCAGCAAGCTACAGATCAACAACTAGGGTTTAAATGAAAAAGTACAATTGTCATAAATGTATATATTTACTTTTATCATCAGAGATTATATAAATATTGCATATAGTTGAGTGTAGCATTGAAAATTTTCATGCCAAGAAAACCACAAGAAAACCATTGTCAGCCGAGGCGCAGCTGAGGTTGACAATGGTTTTCGAGGGGTGAAAATTTTCAATGTTACACTCAACTACATGCAATATTTATTATACTGAATGTTTTATACAAATACATATAACAGTGAACGTGCGCGCATAAATTCTGCGCAGTCGCTATTTTTTGGAATATCACCCGTCGTCAAGCAATGTTGACTGTTGCTACGCTGAAGGGCGTGGCTTCATTATTCAGCGGGTAATAGTGTTTTTTAACAAATGTTTCTCGACCAATCGGATTCAACTAATTTACATGAAAGTATAATATTAAATATTATTTTCCACTAAAAACTAACATTTTAAATAATAGTCTTACAATTCTAATAAAATTTATTGCCACAACTGTAGTCTTCTTGATCATGGAGGTTCAAGTTACATGCAGTATATTTTTTTTTGACAGCCCACATTGATTTAATTAATCTTTGGTAGAAAAAAAAAAACAACTAATTACATATGCAGTTTTGCGGAACACTATCGGGGCATTTTATTAGGATATAAATATTGCTGTTGTTCTCTCTCAGATCACGTTCTCATACACATTGTATTTTGCTGACATAACAAATCCATTATCACTACTACCACCTCACAATGATCTTGGGGATATTTTTGAATTTTTTTACTCTGTGTTTGCTACTTACATTTGTTTCAAGATTAAAGTGTTTGCAGTGGACATATTTTCCACACTACCCTGTATCTGAATATCTGGATCCAAGATTTCTTCATCAGAAAGACATAAATGCCACTTCCGGTTCAATCCAGTCAATCGCATTTTACCCCCAACTTCCGGGATTTCCTGTAATATCTCTGCCAGACAATGCAAGGGACAGTTGTTTCCCAAGAATAAAAGCCGCATTTGACCGAGCGTTTCCGGAAATACCCAGGGCAAACCTAAGGACTTCTGATAGTGTAGGTGCTCAACCCAACCCTCGCTTCCTCTCTCAGTTACCAGCGTCCGTACAACCAGTGTATGCAAGGGAAACGGGACCAAACTTTGTTCCTTACAAACTCCCAACTAGCCAATTCCCAATGTATGTTGCTCTCGACAGGGAAACAAATCGACTGCTTTATCCCCAGCTTAAAGTTTTGCTTCCATATGCAAAATTAGCAACCACACAATGGCCATATGGAAGAAAATATGTCATTTACCTTCCATTCCAGCCAGATCCTTTCCGGAACTCTTCATGTGGAGAACCCATTTATATTCCTTTTCCGAGTAGAGATGGAGAATTTTTTATTTATCGCCAATATTCTTTGGATACGACGCAGGCAAATAAACACTTTGGAGGAAGCACATCGATTTCGTCCTATCTTGGTACAATGAAGCACTGACTGTTAGTACCCTAGAATCGACCTCCAAAATACCACTTTACTATATTTCAAGTAAGTTTCCGTTTTCAGATCAGTTCACTCAGATCCTAAGTTTATTCTTTTTCCAAGATTTTCCACGGTGATTAAAAACATTATTTGACAAACCTCTGACTTCTTTATTCCGTAGCCGAGATTGTAGAAGTGTGAATACGGAAAAAATCTCGCATATTTCTGCAACTTAACCTTCTGTTTGTAACTCAATGAATGTGAAAAAAAGAGTGACAGGTTTCCAGCTTACCAACCTGGATTTACTCACATCTGCCATTGGACAACGGAGTGTACGTTTGGTTTTAGAGCAGTCTTGTGAAATAGAATATTGTTACATTGAAGTTTTCAATTTAAGAAATTCCTAATTATCTAGATTGTTATCGATGAAATATGAGAAGATAACGAATAATATTTAAGCTCAAAAGCCCATTCAAGCAGTACAAATCAGGAGCAGAGCAAACGCGGACAGGCATCCCCTGCCGAACGGTCACACCTAACGTGTGCTTCTCGTCATGATCGTGAAATAACGGGAAAATCCGTCAACAATTCACTGTGTTAATAATGGCCTAACAATTCGTATAAAAAAAAATGTCAGCATTCTATCTAATGATAATTTGTATTTGCTGATAATGTCTTTGTATCGACCATATAGCTAACGAAATGACGACTTAAGACGAGACTGCTGATATTCTTGTTTCATCAACTTGTTTGTAAATATTTACCTCTTTTTAGGAATTGTTCATTTGTAGAGCATGCTCTTGCGTATCGAATCAACTGAGATATATAAACTCCGTATAGTAGTGTAACAGTAAACATTTTCCTTTAAAACTTATTAATTAAACTTAGTTTTTTCCCTGCACTTTTAGTCAATCCATATTAACCATTATTCCCAAATCCAAATTAAAAGCTATTTTCTATATATATATGAAAAAGGTCTATTATTTTATTAATGTAGTTTATTACAAAAAGTAGTGTTAGTAAATGTTGTATTGGCAAAAAAAAAAACCCAATCAAACAAACAAGAACTTCTGCAAAGACAAAAGTCAGCATTTTATACAATAGGACAGAATAAATCACGTAGGCTCGAAACTCCCACAAGGCGAGATAGAAATACTAATTTATTGCTGCTTACTTTAAGCTGGTTATGGCGACCAATAAAACACGGTTAAATTGTTTTATTTGAAAGATTTGATTGACGACAATGCGTTCCTGTTGATCTACTTTTTTTTAGTATGAAAGGATTTACAGCAATTCTGTACTTGCATTTAAGACAAAAAATTTTTGCAAAATACCAATGAACTGAACATGAGAACCAAAAAGTAACGTCATAATAATACTTGCAGGGCAAAGTATTGTATGCAATTTCAAGACAAATATCATAATAAATGGGGTTATTTGCATTTGAACTTTTTAGGGATTCTGAAGGCAGTTATGGATCACCATAATTATTGTTAAATAGACCCTCAACAGTAATGAATCTTATAATGACTTTCTTTTATTTTCAGATCATGGGACTTTTGGATATTAATGATACTGCCTAAAAAAAAAGGGGGGGGAAGAAATATTAGCAATTTTATGGAATTGCATCTCAATTGATTTTTTAAATTTTTGAAAATATTATTACATGTAGTTTATTTTAAATCATATGTCAAAATGTTAAAGTTGATAAAGAATAAAGCAATGGAAATATTCATGTTCTCCATCGTTTGTTATTTGGCGGTTTGTTGCCTTGCCTATGTCAGTATTGATCTTCAGGTGTCTACTGATACTGACTGATTTCCATATAGTTACTTGTACTATTAAGTTTTTGTTATGTACTAGCATTCTTAACCTGAACTAGGGTTCCTCTGGCTTTAACTAACCTTGCTTTAATTTCCTTGTTAGCACCGCCATCTGATGTCACTACAAACTTCAGATATGCAAAGTATCACACACACCTTCTATATCTTGTCCATTCAGCTGTATTTTGGGAATTTTTTTCATTCAGGGGCATTATACATCTGTTTTTTAAAGTTGCTGTTTAAACTATTTTTGCTGACTTTTTTGTACCTTGGATGATTTTCTTTGTGACTCCGGATGAGATAGTGGGACCTGGTCATCTGCAAAACCTAAGTCTAGATTGCTGAGAAGAGTTCATCCGATGCCTGTGTTATCTGCCTTACTCATGATTTCACTAAAACAAAACTCATGTGTGAAGAACTACTAAAGGAACATTTCAATTCTGCATAGAATAAAAACCTTAAATATAATTTAAGATATCATTTATTGTTTGGGAAAACAATCATAAATTCGCCTAATTATTGATCTTTACATTATTAAACTGCTCTCGACATTGAAATTGAAATATTTCATTTTGCTATAAAAAGTAAATGTAGATAAAATTACCGTTATAATTTAATGGCATTCTTGAATAATTAAATTGATTCCTAACTTCCAAATTGTTAACATGATAATTACAATTTTTTTCATCTTTTATACTTTTTCCAAACCTAAGAATCCCCATTTTTTTGTAGATTTACAGTTCCCCTCCTTTATGTAGCTATAAAGTGAGTTTGAAATTTTGTTTCATTTTTCAACTGAATCTACAATTTGAACGTTATGATCTGCCCAATAATTAAAAACAAATTAATAATTTGAAGTTCAATTGAAACTCGACCATTTTCAATAAAATATCTTCCAATATAATTCAGATACATTGAGAATAATATTGGAGATAATGTTCCCCCTTGTAGAACACCAGCTGAGTTACGAAATGTATCCTTCAACATTCCCTCATATTTTATACAAGCTCTATCATTCTTATATAGATACTTGATAATACATAAAAAATTTTCTAGTATATCCTTTGCTTGTAAATTGAACATAACTTGTATCTGTTAAATAAATCAAAAACATTTGAATCTACAAAGCGACAGTTTATTTCTTTTTATTTCTCAGGTTAATGCTCTACTTAATGAATTTTGTAGAATGAAACATATGGAGATAACGAACAATAATAAAGATCAAAGTCCATAAAATAATACAAAAGAGGAGCAGAGCAAACACAGACCTCCAAAACATCAGAGGTGGGTTCTAAGCCATGTAGGAATGATCATCCCCTGTCCACCCGCCGTGTGCTCCTTGTCATGATCGGGAAATAACGAGAAAAAAAAACGTCCTCAATTCAGTGTTTTTAAAATAAGGGACTAACAATTAGTATGAAAAACGCCTGTCAGCATTTCACTCAATGATAAATTGTTTTTGCCGACAAGGTCATTGCATCGATTAATATTGCGTCAACTGTACTAAAATTTGGCTTAAAATCAAAATGAGCGTCCTTCATAATCTTAATTTAACAATATATTTTTTCAAAACACACGTAAACAGTTTTGTTTAAAAATTTCAAGCCGCATTAGAAAAATATGAATTATAATCAGAACTACTCAGTATATCCGATTGAAACCAAAAAAAAAAGGAGCAATAGTAATGTGTCTGAATAATTCATGATTTATAGCTAAATTCGCGATACTTTATGGAAATAATCATTAATGTCTTCTTTTTCGCGCCAGGTACACCTCTCTCGTTATCATAAACCGCTGTAATTGACATGTGGTCAAACCGGAACTGCACGATTTTGTCAGGTAGAAGGTTTGTATGACATGCTCACATTTGCTCATACATGTATACATTTTGAATACAAATGTATGTCTGATTCTAACAAAGAATTGTGGGGAAAATTACTGGTAGACATTTCAATTTGATAAAGTGTATTTAGTTTAATAAACCTACCCAAATACTAAGTATAAATTTATATATACATATGGTTTTGAAATCTAAGCAGGAAAGAAAGATTATACCACAAAGTAGAAATTTATTTGGACCTAGTGATTAAAAATAATGTAATACTTCCCCGAAAAAGGAAGTGTCCAATTTGTTTAACTTATATCATTAATTGTTCCACCATTCAAAATTTCGGTGTTGGATTTGGAATCTTTTTTTACGCTGAAATCTTCCATAAATCATTAGTATGGACCCGAAGAACTTATGAAATGATGACTTCAAAGGAGACTGCTGACTGATATCCTTGTTTTATCAACTTGCCAGACAATAAACTACCTTGTTTTAGAAATTGATTATACGTAGAGCATGATCTTGCATATCAAATCGAGAATTACCCGGTATAAACTTCGCATGCAGCTGATGAAGGTACATTGCTGCATACGCAATTATAGGGAAGTTGACGATTGAAAAATTAAAGCCAATTAAACCATCTCGGTTATCATAAAGCTTGGTTCTTTTGCTTTTCAAGAAATTATAATTTCGTTGTGCTGAAGTAAATGTTCTTATCTTGATGTGATATTGCAATGTAAATGTTTATGTATTTGGACTAATGTCGATTAAATACATTTAGAACCCTTTTTGACAGAATTTTTAATGGAAGGAAGTAGGAGTTTGTGAATAAAATCCAATAAAGCCATATCTCTTCAATAAAAGCAGAGACAAATGACAAGATTGTGGTCCAAAAATTTGGGTAATTTCAGTGTTAATGTTTCAACCGTAAAAAAGGCTATAACCCATCTTCGCTAGCCAAGGGTTTCTGATACACTACTCTCCTCATGAACCCTTGGCATACGGTGAAATCAAAAGACGGGATTGTTTTCGTCACATGATCTCGAATCTATCAGGTACGGCACAGATTGCGTCATCTACAGAAATAAAGACGCGTGTTTAAAAAAATTAAATCAAAGTTTTTTTCAAGAATAATTAAGAAGCAATAATTGAGTTATGTTTATTTATTATTTACAGTACAAATCTGAAGCTTCAATATAGGTTCTTAATCACATATTTAGAATATATAGGATGACACCATAGCTATTCATAGAATTGCATGTTATCTTACGGATCGTTGTTTACTTGCATTTTTCATTTCCGAGATTAAAGAATCAAGAAGTATCCCGAACGCAAATATCGTCATTTACAAAAAAAAAAAAAAAAAAAAAAAAAATTGCTGATTGGTCGACCGGGTGTACCGAATCCCAATTAGAACTCGAGGAAAAAAACCTAACTTCTATCAACACCGTATGCCAAGGGATTATGAGGAGAGTAGCGTATCAGAAACCCTTGGCTAGCGAAGATGGC